GAGAGGGACCAAGGCTCAAAAGGAGCATCGGATCTGGTCTGTGTGGCCAAGAAGATTTTGTGCCCTGTCAGAGTATGGTGCTGGCCCTCAACACATGTTGAGTACTGTTGCAGCACAGAAGGTTGTTTCCATATGTGAGATTCATTTTATGGCCACCCTGCCCAAAGCAATTTATCTCATGAGCTCCTGGCCCTGGAGGGCCATTGCCTTGTGACAGCCCCGAGCTCATTTCTGCTCCACCTTGTGTCTCCCTCTAAGATGCTCCACTTGGTTCCACAGCCAGAGCTTGCTGGTGTGGAGCAGGGCATGGAGCAGTGCTGAGCCCTCCCTGCTGGCAGGATACAGCCCACCAACAAGCCAGTTTGGTTTGGAGTGGCCAAGATATGAGATTCTCCCACTGAGTCCCTGAGCATCCCTGTTTCTGGCTATAAATCCCTTCCAAGGAGGAGTCTTTAGAGAGGGGGACTGAGATGATCCACAAGCTGCAGCCATCCCCGCCCCCTCCCCGAGAGGAATTGCTCTCACACAAATGAAATGTCTGTAATTAATGGGCAGGGGGCTGGACAGGTCTGAGATGAAAGCGTTTCCTGGACTTGTCCTTCATTTGCATGGTATCAGAAGCTGTTCAGAAGGTGTGACTTTTCCCACAGGGAGCCCTCAGTTCGGTAGCACAATAAAGCCAGAACTTCTTACCCAGAATTAATTAAAGGAGGGGGAGGGGGATGGCAGGGAAATGTTTGAAAGCTGAGCCTGATGCAATAAACAAACAGCCCAGTCGTCCTTCCCAAGGTAAAGCCTGCCTAAGGAGCCTGGGCAAGCTCCAGCCCTGCCACAGCATCCTGCAGTCCACCCAGCTCAGTGGGCACCCAGATCCAAGCAGACATCATGGAAAAGTTGTAAACTGAGAGAAGGGGTGGAAGCAGAGACAGCATGAGCCAAAAGGTTTGGGGTTTGGTTGATAAAGCCCTGGTGCAGCCCCTGCTCAGACAGCACATGCCCCTTTTCTTGCCACTTCAATTTGTTGCTGCCTGTACCCTGTTTCTCTACTACAGAATCACAGAATGGTTTGGACTGGAAGGCACTTTAAAGGTTGTTTCATTCTAAATGACCTGCCATGGACAGGGATACCTTCCTACTAGATCAGATTGCTCAAAGCCCCATCCAACCTGGCCTTCAATGCTGCCACGGATGGAGCACCCACAGCTTCTCTGGGCAACTACAGCAGCATTTAATCTGAAAACAGCTCTTTCTCCTGCCTGGTGTTGCCCATTTACTTCTTACCCTGTGTTAGCTGGCTGGACCTGATGGGCTTCCCCATGATCTGGCAAGGCAGAGTCTCCCAAACATTGTTCAACTCCAGCCTTGTCACTGTGTCTGGATGGCAGCACATGGTGAGCCCTGTCCAGGCAGGGACATGCACACAGCACTGCTTGGAGCTCAGGATGGGGCCATCATCCCTGCTCCAACAGCCAGAGCAGCAAGGTTCCTCTCCTGCTTCATCTGTCACCTCCTTCCAGGCAGCTAGTGGCAGTGAGGGAGCTGCAGGGTGACATGGAATGGTGGCATCAGCAACAGGCACATGGCCACCACAAGGACTTTGCTAGCTCAAAGCTAGGGTTTCTGCCCAAAACACCCACACTAACAGCATGAGTTAACAAAAGCAAACATCCATCCCCAAAGCCCCCCAGCCCTCTCCTGCAGGTCCTGCCCCCATCTCAGCACCTCACAGTCCCCAGGGCCCTTACATGGCTTTGATTCTCAAGCTTGGTTCATACACCTGCTGATGAAGAAGAAAAAGTCCCAGATTACTGGGTTGATGATTGACCCTAGGCATTCAAATAGCAGCTAGGGTTCCTGTGACTGTGGAGGAACAGCAGGTATCATCAGGGACTGTCCCCACCTCCCTGCATGGGTGGTGGAAGCCACCAGCCCTGGGGACCATATGCACAGCACCCTGCAGGACTCAGGAGGAGTATGAGCTCCTCCAGACTTACCAAGGACTAAGTAGTATCAGTACAGAGACAGGATATGAGAAACCATTAATTAATTCACTTACTCATTAACTTACTAGAACTGGGCTCTTTAATCTTCCAAGCAGTGGTGAAACAACCTTTGTTGACTAAAGGAGCTGAAGTTAGACAAATTCAAACAATAAACAAAACATGTAGTGCTCCATGGCCACTCAAAAGCCCTTTAATGAAAAGTGGCTGACTAACCATGGACCGAGTGAGCTGGGGATCCCTTCCCAGAGGCCAGGCCTGGGTGCCTTTCACTGTGGCAGAGCAGACAGCAGGATTTGGGGGGTAGTGTGGTACAGAGCTGTGCAGGGACACAGGAGTGTGCATACTCACTTCAAACCCCGGGGCGCTGGCTGCTCACTGCTCCAGCTCTTGTCTGCACCCCAGGATGGCAGGGATGGGGGAACAGCCTTACTGGAGGCTGAGCACCACACCGTGCCCTTCTCTACCATAGCTGGGCATTTGTATCGAGACAGGAGACATGGATTTAGTCCCGTGCCTCTGCTACCCGTACCTGGAGCAGGCACCTGGCACCAATTCACCCATGTTCACAAAGCCATTAGGAAAACAGTTAGACAAATTAAAGGAAGAAAAGCAACCATTAAGGACTATCAAACACCATCTCTGCCTGGGGAAAGGCCAGGAGCAATTCACTTTTAATTCCTGTAGCCTGTAAACCACAACAAAGTCTCGTCCCAGCTGTCATCCTCAGGCTTCTGCAGCCCTTGGATCCCTCCTGAAACAGTCAGACAAAAGCCATCCGTGCTGTCCTGTGGCTCAAGCAACATCCCTGATCTCCGTGATGCAGCAGCGATGTTCAGGTACAGAGCACGGCCAAGTGCTCAGTCCCTTCTTTTCCCTCCTTGAAATTATTGACAAATACTGCCAGCTCTGCCTAGGCTGCTGTGTCAGCCAGGGGAAGGCTCAGCCTCAAACCCACAGTCTCAGCATGAGCACTAGGTGATGTCACAGGCACCCCATCAGCATTGCAACAAACCCGGGGCTGGCACCTGTGTCGGTAAAACCCACCTTGCAGGGCTGCTACACTTACACACTTTAACATATCTCACACTTTCATTCTTGCATGCTTCCATACCTTAGAACCACTCCATATCTGAATCCCATATCTCCTGTAAGCAAGACCCAGCACTACAGCAGGGTTGAGTATTCTCTGAAGGACAGGACACAACAGCCCATTCTGCACAGCCCCAAGCTCTTCTGGGTAAGAGAGAAGCAAATACCAGCTTTCTCTTGGGCAGTCTCATCCCCTCCGTGAGAGCAGTGATCAAGGCTCCATTGTACTATGTCCCCATTCAACCTGCAGTAGGCCTTACTCCCACCTGTCAAGAAGGTGGCATCTGCACGTTAAACCTGGAATTTGCTGCAAGGAAAGCTATGATTTCCACAAGACTCATCTGGGTCCAAAATCTTGGGGCACTCTCCACAGCTGTTCCCTTGGGAAGGAAATTACAGCAACCAGCAGCCTCAGCCCCATCCAGCACCTCACTGCCATCCTCTTTCATCCCTCTCCAATATGTCTGTCCAGCCCCAACCCCTCCCTGAAAAGCATCAGGCTCAGTTAGACTAATACAAACTTTTAATGCACATATTAAATAAATATTTCAATCATTTCATATTCAATTTGTACACAACTGAAACAAAACAAAAATCCTCAAGGAAACAGGAAAAACCTCAAACAATCAAAAAAGATTGGATGAAAATTCAACCCCTGGTTCTGACTCCTATCCAGTGTCTTTGTTTGCCCTCCCCATAAAGAATAATTGGTTTAACCCTTTGGAGAGAGTCACAGTCCCAGGGCAGCATGTGCAGAGCAGGGCTGGCTGAGGATTTCACTCAAGAGATGTAATGTTTCCTTTGTGATTTTTCATTCCTCTAAATATAAAATTTGGCTTCTGTCAACACAAATTTTGAAAGAAACCCCCTTCTTTCCTAGGGGGGCAAGGGGAGCAGTATTTCTCATCAAAGAAGAAACCTGGAAAAGACAGTTGGCAATGGAAGCACCAACTATTATGACAAGATACTGAATTATCACAACAAAACAGCCTGAAATGGCTCCACAATAATTTGTAAACTTTGTTTAATTTTATGGATGAAAACTTGCATCTCATAAAAAAATATAGACAGAAAAAAAATATCAATTTTTGGTGAGAAGTTCACATTTTCCACATGGGGAAAAAAATAATACCAGTTATCAGCCCGCTCCACAGCAGCTGTACCTTAGTACTTTAAAACAAACCAAATGCCAAAGATGCTCCCGTGGGTAAGAGGTATCGAGTCAGTTCAGGACTTTCACTGGGGAATCCATCAGCCCCTGTCCCCTCCTGAGAAAAAAAGTAAGTTGAGAGTTGTGAAGTCAGCAGCATTCTGAGAAGGATGCGACTTCCAGCAACCCCTTGCTCAGCCAAAGAAGCGGGCACATCCAAGGAAAGAAAGCATCCAGTGGTCCCCACCCCAGGTGTCACAGTCAGCCCCCACTGGCAGTGTCCTCACACCACTCAGGCTGCCAAAACCACCTAGGTGGCCTCCAACTACCTCCAAAATAAATCCCCACGTCTTAGCTGTTTTCCAGCCTCTCCATCTTCTCCAGCAAGCATAGCATTAGTTCAGTTCATTTAAGTAGCACATCGCTTCCAGATTTGGATTTCCATGGTTTGTTGCTTGTTTGTTTTAAACATTTTTTTTTAACTCCTTTCCCCCTAGAGCTACCAAAAAAAAAAAATTACAAAATAAAGCGCAACCCCAAACAGACTAGAACATTTCTAAGTGAAGGGCTCTTCTCCCTTCACCAGTCTTTGAATGTTTCATTACTTTTAAAGCTGGAGTACAAAAATAGAGTCTCTCTCATTTTTTTTGTCTTTTTTTTCTTTTTTTTTTTTGTAAAAACCAAACACCCTCCCAAAAGTACCAACAACTAGAGCAGGTAATTTTTTTTTATCCTCCCCCCTCCCTTTTTTTATTTGTTTTGTTTTAATACCCATATGGGAAAGTCTCTACATATAGTCCATCAAGCTCAGAGGAGCATCCTCCAGGAGATGCAGGCAGAGGGGGCAGGGGCAGGCACATCAAGGGCCCGCCCTGGAGCTGGAGTTTCTAGTCCTTTTACTTCTCCGGTTGAAGGGGTAGTTGAGGAACTCAAAGCGTCTGTGGGGCTCGGTGGTCTGGTGGCCCTTGGGAAGCCTCTTCATGAAATGCACCTCCCGCTGGTGCTGCCGGGTCTTGGAGCCCTTGCGCGGGCGGCCCTTGCGGGTGAAGGCCATGTACCAGCCCTCGTACTTGGCGTTCTGCAGCGCCGTGTAGTTGTTCTCCAGCACGATCTCCGTGAAGACGCAGTCCTTGCCTTTGCCGTTGCTCTGAGAAGGGGACAGGAGCAGAGATTTAAGCGACAGGCAGTTGCTCAGAGGGCTGCTTCTCACTGTGGCAGCAGGGTTGCAGAGCTTGTGGGCAACCAAAGTCTCACTTCTCCCACAAGTCAGAATTGCCCAAAATGTGTTTTTCCTTAACAAGCCACAGTGAGCAGGCACAAACACTGCTCACTGCTGCTTATGTACCAGTGCAGCTGGTCCCAGCCTTAACTTCCACCACATCCATAAGGGAACTTTTGCCTCCATCTGTGCCTGGATGTAACCATAAACAAACTCCCCATCCCAATTCACCCACCCATCCTGTCCCCCTGGGGTCTTTAATACAGGAGGGACACCGAGGAACATTGAGTGGCAGGAGAAGCGACATGAGGTCAGTGGTGACGGTGCCCACAGATGAAGGTGATGGGGGAAGCATGGGGTAGCCAGGAACTGAGCTCCCCCATTATGGAGAGCAGCAGGACTAGAGAAGAAGCCACACCGGGCAGCCCCCAGGAAGCAGCTGCCATGGAAAATCCTTGCAGGTAATCACTGTTCTGGAGGGATTTTGTACATCCAGCCCTGCCACGGCGGGAAGGGGCATCAAGGCACAGAAGCTGCATGACAAACCAGCGGGCCGGAGGTGGGGTCTGGCCTTGGGGCAAGCCCCATGGAGCATCTTAACATTCCTGGCACTTGTACCATGTAATCGTGGAGAATAGACCAGCAATCCGCCTATTTGTTCGGAGAGATAGAAGGAATGCGCCCCACACGGCACCCGCCCACCTCTCTTGCTCCCGCTCAGGCTGCAGGATGGCTTGTTCCCCTGCCCCCAAGAGGCAGAACTGCTCTCATGGCAGTCCCCGCTCCGTGTCCCAGCAGTTCCCTGCCTTGCCCGTACCCTTGCACCCTACCTTGCCAATCAGCTTCCCCTTCTTGTTCATGCAGATGTAGAAACCCGTGGCTGCCCCCTTGATACGCACGCGGCTCCCAAAGGTGTCTGTCTCCACGATGAGCTTGGCTGGGGAGAGCAGCAGGGGGAGAGAGGGAGGGAGGTCAGAGGGGCTGTGGGATAGGGCTGGCACAGGTGTGGAGACATCAGCAATGCACCCTGATGCTGGGCACTGCAGGCACATGATCTCTGGCAGCTGGACCAGAGAGAGCCCTAAAATCAGCACATGAGGTTAAGATACAGCTTGTCCCCACCCCGTAACTTGCCCCAATGTCCCTGCATGATATTGGACATGTCCTTTTGCCATCTTAAGCTGTGCTGGATGGGGAATAGCTCTGTTTTACCCGGCTCCACAGGGCTCAGCGGTTCAGGTGCCACAGAGGAGTCCCAAATGGAGGCAGGGCAGCCAGCAGGGCACATGCTGGTTGGCAGAGAACAAGGCAGCTGCCCTGAAAACTGAGGCAAGTCTGGGTGTGCCTGTGGGCAGGAACCAGACACCTTCCGGAAGTGCACAGTGTGCTGCCAGCTGTCCCCAGCCCAGGGGACACTGCTCCATGTCACTCTGCCAGGCCAGGGCTGCAGGAGGAGCAGTGACTTTGCAGCTGGCAGGGGAGGCGTGAAGGGTACAGCCACCCTTTTAATGCCTTTCACCTTTGCACAAGTCGAGAGGGCGTATTGATTTGGTCTCAGTTTTTTAATGGAGGCATCGATCGACTTCCGAAGGAGCTATGCAAATCGCTGGGTCGATGGGCCGCCTATAAATAGACCTGTCACCTTCCCTCCCTGCCTTCACCCTGGGAACCCAAGGCCCAAAGCTCATCCATCCCCAGGGAAGGGGGAGGATGGGGACAGGACATCCTTCTTCCCGGTTCTGCAGCTGCTGTTCCCAGAGCAAGCCCCGATGGGGATGGTGGCTACCTGTTTGTACCTCAAAAGGTCTGTGCTATGCCAAGCACTAAAGAATTCCCCACAGTGCTGAAAAGCCAGCTGTGACTGCCCCATCAGCTCTTGCTCAGCATCAGCCCACAGTACTACAAGTGCTACCCAACAAGGCAATTAGAGGACAGGCCACAAAAGTTCCGCTCTTATTATGGATTTAAGTCCATTGGTGCCTTATTTATCCTCTCGGGTCCCTGCACAGGGGCTGCTCAGTTTCTCAGGACTGTGGTTCACTGCAACTTGCACATCTCTTCCTCAGGATGCTCAGCCTCCAGCGAGCCCCAGTGAGGGCAGTGATGTGGCTCTGGAGTGGGAGGCTCTGCAGGAGGATGTTTTGAATGGCAGAAGCAGGCTGTAAGCGCACACACAAGCTAAAGTGAGCTTAAATCGTGCTCTGGGCTAGGGGAAAATGGCCTTTCTCTCTCTGCAGTGCCTCAACCCCACATCCCTCTTATGATGGACGCTGCTGAGGTCAAGCACCAAGAATGGGGACAGCAAGCAGGCAGTGCTGGCAGCTGCTGAGTTGACCAATGGAAAGGTCATCCCCAAATTTGCTGGGGCCAACTGATTTGGTGCTGTTAGGCAGGCCAAGCTTGATGTGCATGCAGGCACCCCCTCCTGTCAGTATCACCCTGCAGCATCTCTTGTCCCCAAGCTACCATGCATTCACATACCCCTATTCCTAGGCAGGCACAGATTGAACTCGGAGACAAGAAATTTGGGAAGAGCAAACTCCAGGCTGTGCTGATCAATGCCCAGAGAGCCTGACAAGCACCTCGCATCCCTAAAAACCACCCACGGGAGCGATGGCACTCTGCAAACAAAGCACTGAGACAGTGACCCCCTATTTATCTATATTGGGGAAAGGGGTGGAATTGATCTTGGAGGCAGTAAAAGGTTTGAGGAGAATTGATTTTTCTCTCTGAGAGATAGAAAGAGCAGGGAGGGAGGGAGAGAGGGAGGGATGAAGTGGGAAAGAGGGAGGGAGTGGGGAGGCCTTGGCCCCAGCGAGCACAAAACCCTGCTTTAAAGATGCACATTGCTTCTCTTTTGGACTTTTCTCTCTTTTTTTTTTTTCCCCCCAAAGGGCAGCTGTGATTTACAGCCACCAGACGGGTTTGCTGCCCTGCACGAGCCCAGCCCATGTGTCTCTTCAGCCCCCTTATCCACAGAGGATGAAGACAACCTGGCCCCAGGGACTTGCACCCCTAGACCCTTCCAGGCAACTCGTGAACCCTGCAAACTCCAGCCCCAGCCAACAGAAAACCCTAGGCACAGAACAACAACCAGCAAGTGGGCAGAGAGCTGTGCCGGTGTCTCCGGCCACTCGTGGGGTCGAGCCAAGCTGCAGCTGGCAGGGGTTTTCTTGGTGGCAGACACAGCCTGGGAGGGACAAGCTGGGCTGCACCGGCCGCCCGCCTTCCCTTAGAATTAAAAAAAGTCAATCAAATATTGACAATTAAGACAAATAACTGAAAACACTGGACTCGATGTTAAGTCGGCTGTAAAAATGTCAGCGTGGGGAAAGGGGTCATCTGCAAAAATAAATCAACCCCTTTTACATGCCCACCCCCAAAAATGAGACTGAAAAAAAAGAAAAAAAGCAGAAAGAAGGGCTTGGGGAGGGGGAATCTTTGCTGCAAAAGTGGATTTCTAAATAACATTTGGGGGGAGTCTTTTTTTTCTTCCCTCCCTCTTTTGGGGAGGGGGGGAGGCTTAACATTTTCAACTCTATTCTTTCATTTAAGTGACAGATTTATCCCAGTAAAATTATGTTTCATGCTCAAACTTTGAAGGGAAAGTGGCTACGTAAATGCTGAAAAAATGCAGCGAGACACACTTGATCCCCCAACTGGACTGCGAAGAGGAGAAAGTATTCAGGAAATGTTAAAAAAGGTGAAAGTAAGAAGCGTTTTAATAGTTCTTCCAGACATGGGGGCCTCCCTAGAGATTCATACAGAACAATCCTGAACCTCTATTTTAACATTTACAGACTTGCAACTCTTTTAAAACTTTACATCTGAAAAACTGCTTGTTCTCTTTCTGGTTTAGATCAGTCTTCATTTTCCTCCTTAGCTCTTCAAATGCTTAACCTTTTTTTATTACATTTTAATAGAGTTTTTCAAGCCACCACCAGTCCCTTCCTTCTGGCCGTATTTAAACCTGGTTGTTATTTAAATATGCACTAACTGTTTTGTAAAATCCAGGCGTTAGAGGTCTAAAACAAGATGGGATTTTTTTTTTTTTTTTTTTTTTTTTTCCCTTCGGAAATTAGCTACTGCCCTTTCAAGCTAGAGCTGCTCCAGGACGGGAATAATTCATTTGCAAGATTAATTCTGGATATATGGAACATCACATGGAACCTGCACTGTGCTTTTACAGATAATGTCCAGAGTGAAATTTTCACCCAAAGGAAAATGAAGGAAAAAAAACCCAAAAACCAGAAAGGTAAAGAAAAAAATTGTTTCTACTGATCTACCCAAGCAAGAAAGGGAAATTGCAGCTAATACCAAAGAAAAACAGTTGTGATACCTATGTACAACACACAGGAATACAGGCACTTCCCTGCCCTGGGCACAGGATCAGGCCTCCCGCAGCTGGCCCCGTGGCTCGCTGGCCCCACAGACCCCTGTGCCACATTTGACCATCCCAACACGTCAGGAGCTCACACAATCAAAGTATTTGGGCTTTGAGAGTCCCCAGCAGAGGGACTGGTCCCCTTGCCCTGGAGAGGGTGGAGGTTTTGGGGAGGGGGTGCCAGGGTGATGCAGAGGGGCCGTGGCAGAGCACAAGCTCTCGCACTTGCAGAGTCCCTGTTTTGTCTCTGGAGACGCCGCAGCATCTCTGCCTGCAGCTGACTGCCTCGCTGACCCTCTGCTCAGGATTTGTTTTGGAAAGGAAGGGATGGGACATGAAAATGCCACTTTAGACAGTCCTAGTTCAGGGAAGGCTCCCAAAGCAGTCATTCCCCCTTTCTCCTCCCTGCCTCTTATTTTTCAAATTTACTTTCCATTTCAGTTCCAAAAGGAAGTCCAGGGATTCGCATCCCTGCAAAGAGACAGGATGAAATTCTGATGATGCTCAGGATGCCGCAGCCCCAAACCCTCTGAGTCAGGTGCAAACCAAGAATTAAAATGAAAGAAGCAGAGCCTATCCTTCAAGGGCTGGTCCCTTCCCTTGGCACAGGGAACCTGCCCTCACCTTGAATCACACAGCTGCTGATTGCTGACCCCTATGTTCTCCTTTTACAAGCCCCCACAAGCCGAACGATTTTAACGATTTCTGGCTGACAAACAGGACGGAAATCATCAATCGCCACGCTGGGCTGCGAACACCTCCCCAGCTCCCCCCTTGCCTGCCCACATCGTATGTCCTTACCGTGCACATCCCCATCCTCTGCCATCGCATTGATTTTCTTGTTGTCCAAGATCTGCACATGTTTCCCGCTGGTCCTGCTGTACAGCTGGTAGGTACGGACAAGCCGCCGGCTGAGCTGATCTGTCACCAGGCTCTGCTCCCTCACATGCTGTGTAAAATTAGGTGGGGACTGAACAGTTACCTTTAGGAAATTAAAAAATATACAACACACCATTATAATCTCTACTCCTCAGCGGGGCAAAATGGGCTGAACCGAGATCGTCGGCCTCCAGCTGGGCTTTACGGGAGGCCAGGAGCCAGGACCGCGGCGGTGCCTCCTGTGCCATCAGAGTCTTCCAGGAGAAGGATCATTAAGCTCAGGGACACAGTGACCAGAGCCCTGTATAGAGCTGTGCCCTCTCCAGACATGCTCTAAGCAGAGGTGCAGGTAGCTCGGGAGTACAACAGGGCTTGGTGACCCTGGAGTCCCCTCCAGGACTCAGTGGGTCCTGACTGGGACTGGGGTACCTTGAGATGAGCATCAAGGCTGGGAACTGGAGGGGATCAAGGTGGGACATGCAGGATGGCACTATGTTGCCCTCTCAAGGGGCTGAAGCTTTCATCCCTCACCTCTCTCAACTCTGCAGGAGCATACTACTGCTCCAGCTGCCCCAGGCACACACCCAACAGCTGCCTGTCCTCTGGGTCTCAGGCTCTTTATTTGCTCCCAAGTACCCCACTTATTGAAGAGCTGTGTTGAAGCTCTTCAAACACAAAGTCCACAGAGATGGTAGAACTATGAGGCGTAAGACTCACAAGAGAACCATACCCCAGTGCAGGTATTTAGTGGTATAACCACCCAAGGATACCAACACGCTCCCTGTGCAAACACAGTTCTCATCCCCAGTCAGCTGTTTGGTGCCAGCACAGGGTTGTCCCAGCCCCAGCACGCCAAGCCCTTTAGTCCCCGAGATGCAGCTGAGCCCATCCTCTCCAGACCCGACACTCTTGCTCCTGGGCTTTAAATGATTTTCATGAGCGGCCAAACCTGCTCCCCCCTCAGCCCCGGCTCGCGAGCTGGCACAGAATTCTTTTTCCCCCCTCGTCTCAAATCCCTCTTTTAAGTCTGGAAAGTTTCGCTGCTCCCTGACATTTATAAAGATGTATTCTGAGCAAATGTTAGGAGATCACTCCTTTCAACATCAGAAGGCTGGGGCTACCCCCCACCACCCCCACGTCAAATGGGAAGATTTCCTCCTGTCTTAAACAACAACAGAAAACCACAATAAAAGCAAAAGCCGCTGGTCTCCCAAAGCCAGCTTTATAGAGATATCTCCCCTTGACAATGTCATCTCTCTCCCTCTGCTTCTGCCTGTGCATGTGTGTTTCCTATAGACGGGTTTTGGATAATGCAGCAGGATTCTCTCCCCAGCTCTGATGAGGGTACCATGTGGAGGAGAGGTCATTAGCCATGCTGCTATTTGGTCTCCATCTCATACTCCAAAATATTACAGCTATGTTTTTATACAACTGCACAATCCCAGTGCTCCGTTCCCTTCACTTTTCAGCTGGAAACTCCATTTCCCACCCCCCTCCAAGCTTCCAGGAAAATAACAATAATTTTAAAAAGTAGCTTAAAGAGCATTTTAAACAAAACTTCTGCACCTGTGATCTCAGGGGGAAGGGGGGGGCTTCACCCCGGTTTGGAGGCGCACCGCTCCCAGCGACACATTCCTGCTGGTATGCGGGTGTTGCACAAGCTCTGCCCGGGATGTTTAATCTATTCATGTCACTTCTGTCTCTGCCGATACAAACCAGCGATGCTAAAGTCTGACACTTTAAAGCTAAATCAAAACCTGTGCTTTTTACTAAGGCTTTTGCAGGGTTTCTTTTCCTCTTTTTAATTCTGCTTTACTTTTTTTGATGAAACAACATAGGAGGGAAAAATAAAACGGAGCAGAGGGACGGGGGTATCCACAGTGTAATTAGATGTCGGGGGAACGGGAATTAAAGCTGCTTTAAGATTACCCTGAGTATTTCCTTGAAATCCCGGTACTCCCTGCCTCGCAGCAGAAGTCCCCCGCACCTTATTTTGCGTCCCGGGAAAGGTGGGGTCCCCCTCGGCTCCGGCTTTTTACAACCTGGCAACTTTTGTCTCCTGGGTTTTAAACTGCTCCTCTTCCCCGTCTCCCTCCCTGCCGAGCCGCTCGGCGGCGGCCGGGCACCCCCGACCCCCGCGGGGCGAACAAAGCCGGGCTGCCCGGCGGGCACTTACCTGGGCTTGCAGGCAGAGGACGAACAAGTGCATTAACCTGGGAGAGGGAAAAGCGGGAGAGAGGTGTGAGCCGGGGAGGCTGCGGGCGCGGGGCGGGAGGGCTGGGGCTGCCGGTACTCACACGTAGCTGAAGAGCGAAGAGCAGGGGTCCATCGCGGCACCGATGCGGGGCCGGGGGACCAGGGGCCCGGCGGCGGCGGGGAGCGCCCGGGGGGCGCGGCGCTGTCTCAGTTCCTCGGTTCCTCTCGCCCTGCCGGCACGTCCTCGCCCCAGAGAAAGGAGGGCACAAGCGGCTACAGAGGGGAAAGGCCCGGCGGCCCCACTGCCCGCCCAGCCCCCGGGGCGCTCGGCCGGCTGCCCCTGCCGCGGGGAGCCCCCAGCCCCGCTCCGCGGCCCCGCTGCCTCCGGGAGGCGAAGCCGACCCGCAACCCCGACGGCGGGGGCGGGCGCGGCCGGGGGCGGCAGCCGCGGCGGGGGAAGCGCGGCCGGACCCCCGCTCCCCTCCCGGCCCCGGCGATACCTGCCGAAGCGGAGCGAGCGGTGGGCCAGGTGTCGGGGGGCTTGGGGCTGCCTCTAAGGGCCAGGCTCTGCAGACAGTCGCCGGCGGGACTCCCTCCCCACCCTGTGCCTCAGTTTCCCCATCCGTAAAACGGGGTTTAAGGGCTCGGAGGGTGGGTCGGGGACGCGGATCCCCCCGCTGGGGGTTCGCCGCTCCGCGGACGCGTTGTGGATTGGGAGCGGGCGGGCGAGCCCTCCCGGGACGTGCCAGACATTAAAAGGATTACCGGAGGAGGGGGGATGGAGGGGGCCGGAGTTTCGAGAAGGAGTGAGGCTGAGCAAATTCCGCAGCCGGGGTAGGGAGCGGGACACCCCGCTTTCTCCGCGAGCATCCCCACCGGGCACTTACCTTGTGGAGCGAGCGGGCACCCTCAGGGCCGGCGCTGCGGGGCCATGGGGCCGGGCGGCGGCGGCGGGACGGGGCTCAGCCCCGCAGCCCGGGCAGGGCCGCCGAGGGCTGCATTGTTCCGGCGAGCCCCGGCCCCGCCACCTGTTGCGCACCGGGGCGGGGGCTGCGGCGGGGCTGCGGCGGGCGGCCCCCGGGGCCGGTACCTGGCCGGGGCCGGGGCCGGCGCCGCCTGCTCGGCGCTGAGTGACAGCTGCTAATTTGCCGGCCGTGCCCCGCTGCCGGTCCCCGCGCTCCCCGCGCCCTCCTTTATCTTATCAGAGCCCATAATTACAATTGCTATTTTGCTTCCTCGAATCAGCAATCAGCGCTATCTGCCGCCGCTGGAGAGGCAGCTCCTGTCAGCCGCCCCTGAGTGACAGCGCGGCGGCTGCCCCGCCGCACAAGCACACCCACACACACACACACGCGTGCATGGCCCGCCCGCACACACACACACACACACACACACACAGCCCCGCACACGCCTGTGCAGCCCTTCTGCACACGCACATCCATGCACGCAACCCTCACACGCACAGGCTGCACGCACTCCCTTTAATATACACGCAGCTGGCACACGCGTGCAGCCTTTGCCATGAGGTCCCCTCCTTCTCACTTGCACCCCTCACACACTCTGCACACCCCAGCACAGTTATTCACGCTGTGCTTTGCTTACCTCTACCTGCAAAATACGACTCTCTGCCTCACACACAATCACACTAGCTGCAGCCACAGGAGAGCTCTCTCTCTCACACATACACACTGACACCCCGCTTGAGCACTTTCCCCCTTACTCAGGCACCCAACAGCCCCAGACACAAGTGCACCAACACCTCTCCCCACCACACAATGTGTCATCCCAAAACTCTGCCTACTGACACTTCTGGGGATGGATCTCCCAGGCCTCTCACCTGATCTTGCTCAGCATCCTCACTGCTGAGGGGTGCTGCAGGAAGCCAGGGGAGCCTGGGCACTGCCCCATCACTGGGCTGACCCCACAGGGCCCAAGGAGAAAACAGTCCCTGCATCAGTATTAATAAACCCAGTACAGGTTACCCCAAAATTCAGCTCCTTGTTCATTTTCCTTACCTTTTTTCTTGGTACAAAAAGCTGTTTCTGAGGGAGGTTCCTATGTGTAGGATGAAGTCTAGGGCCAAGCCTGCATTTAGCTGGAAGCATTTAGGAGGACCACAGGAACAGGCAGGACAGGCACTGAAGGTGCTCGGCAGAAGCGGGAGATGGTTTCCAAGGGCACAAACATTCACACACTCAGCTCATCAGTACAGCACATGGTCAGGAGAAAAAGCCTCCAGGTTGAGCTGTGTGAACAGCTATGTACCATAGCACAGGTGAGGCAGTTCATCCTATTCACTTCTGCATTGCCCAAGGAAAACCAGGCAAAACCAGGGCAGGAAACACTAGACACTGCTGATACTCTAAATTCAGACAATCCTTAGTTTCTTATATCTAAAAAATTCAAGGAATTTAGTCTATTTTCCAGATGCTGCTCTCCTTCACCAGTGGCCACCTCCACTTTATCCCTGGTGGGCACAGGATCAGGCAGGTGCATGTTACCATGCACACCACAGTCTACTCAATAGCACCATTTCCAGAACAGCACAGTCTGCCTTAAATTGGGAGATTTATGGTGTCCTGTACAGGGTCAGAGGCAGCTGCAAGCTGACAGTCCCGTGTGCCCCCTGCCCTCAGCAAACAGGCTCAAGTGCCAGTCATGGCTGTAAAATCAAGCCGCTGTGGGATCACCCAGGGGTGGCCACACTTTGCCTGACAGTGGATGACAGATGATGCTCCTGTCAGCCATCCTCAGGCCTACAGCCAGAGCCTCCGCAGCCCCCATGCTTACCCCACCTTTGGGAAGGGAAAAGAAATGAGCAGGTTGGTGACAGCAGCCAGGGACAGGCAGCACCACAGCTGCTGGGCTCACCCCACCTCTGCTGCTGCCTTGGATCATGGCCACAGACTGCTCCTTGCAGGGAAGATGGGTGCCTGCACAGAGGCATTTGTCTTTTTCCCTTGATGCTTCTCAGCCCACCTGTGTTTGCATCAAGAGTGCAAACCCCCACCCCCTTTTGTTTTTAAGTAAAAACACTTTTTGGCTAGGCTCTCTCCTGTGCCAGGCAGCACAAGAGAAATCTCCCTGCCTGTCAGCTCCTTCACAGGCCATCTGAGATAAGCCCCCCCTGGTCCACAGGGTGAGGAGGGTCCCCTCCATCCCCAGGCACTGAGGCTAAATGGCTTGTCTGGCTCTCCTGGGGAGAAGAGAAACTCCAGCCCTGTGCTTCTGAGACCAGCTGGGCCTCAGGCCAAGCTGCTATGGAGATGGTAGAAGAAAGCCCCTCGCGGCAGAAAGACTTGGGGATCTGCTGTGCCCTCAGTGCTCCAAGCAGCAGTTGGGCTGTGGTCCCTGGAAGAGGCTTACCAGCATGGTCCCATCACACCTTGTCCTGCTGCCCCACTGCTCCATTGCCCTGGTCTGCAGAGCAGGGACCATGTTTGGACTGGTCAGGTACAGAAGTGTTTTCCTTCAGAGAAAGCTCATGTGTTTTATGTTCATCAGGGATGTTAAATGCTGCAGATGGAGCATTAGCAGCAGAGATGTGAGCTGCAGCCCTCCCATCCCCTTTCCCACAAAACTGAGGGTACCAAGGCACAGCCACAGGGCTACGACACCAGGAAGCAGGAGCCAAGAGAGGAATCAGGACATGGAGGTCCCAGCCTGGCTGGGGTCCAGGCTGGCTCTCAAACTTTGCCCACCTTCTTCACCTCACACAGAGACTCCTGGCAGCTGAGATGCATGGAGGCAGCTCCTGGAGCAGCCTAGACTGAGATAAGACAGGAAAGCAGATCAGGAGAGGATTTGAGATGGAAGGGGCAGCAGGTGAGGGACTCTGAAACTCTGGGAGGGGTCTCCAGCAGAGACTGGAGAGAGCACAGCAGGTGCTGGAGGAAACTCTTCCCATTCCCCTTGTGATGCTCAGCATGGCACCCCCACAACCCAGGGCCACCCCAGCACCATCCCTTCTCTCTCCCAGGATCTCTCTTAGCACATCTGCAGGACAGAGCCAGGTCCCACCTCCAACTTCCTGCCTGCTTCTTTATCATCTCTCTCTAGCTCAGTTCATGTCAGAAAGGGTCCACATGCACCCCCTTCCTTGTGCAGGATGACAAACAGTGGTGTCAGCTCCTGCTCCCCACAAGAGATCAAAGCCAGCCAGGAGCATCAGCCTGAAACCTCTCCACTAGCATCCCTTATTTCAGAAAGGCAGAGACAAGAAAAACAACACCAGCCACAGCTTTAGGGGCAAGCAGTCCAAACTGGGGTGAATGAAGACAAGGGCTCCTAGCAAACTGGGAGTTCATATCATAAGAGGAGTCTAGGAGAATTTGGAGTGAGGGGAAGCCAGCAAAACACCCCAGGAGTTTTGCCTTGAACACCTCTTTCAGGGGGAACTACCAGTGGATAGTTTCAGGGGAAATTATCAGGTGGAGAAGCAACAGGGACATTGCTGTCACTCACAGAGAGAGGCCAACAGGCACAGTTCCCTGCTCCTGCCAGGCAGGGACATAGACAGGACCACAGCGCTAATCCCAACTGATGGAGGAGAGCAGTACCTGCAGCAGCACTGAGCCGGCCAGAGGGTGAGGAGAACTCCTCTCTGCAGGTGCAGAGGGCTCAGACAGACTGCAGAGCAGTTGCCTGGGGACTGTGAAAGGGAACAGACAGTGTAGGCAGTGGGGTTAAGGGTTAGCCAAAGGCTGGGGCACACGAAGGTGAGGACACTGAAGTGCAGGAAGCAATGCCCAATACCTGAGCATCTCTCTCTGCTCCAACACCATATGAAGAAGAGCCAAAACACATAGAACCCAGTATCCTGTAATGTTTTGCAGCCGTGCCTGGAGGATGCTTGGTCATAAACCAGCTTTTTCCATCCCAAAATAAAGACAGGGAGACTTGCCAGCAAAGCCAGAGGATACTAGCCCACTCCACCCTCACCCTTCCCAGCCCTGCAGCCCAGTGCCCCCAGCCCTGCCTGCTTATCCTTCACTGCAGCTTTAATGGGGCGTTTCAGAGGCAACAGCAGCTCCTCCATGGCTGAGCAGCACGGAGCAGCCTGGGGCAATCCCACTGCTCACCATTAACCTGCTCCCACCCCGCAAAGGGAAGGAACTTGGCGAAACCCCATTG